GACACACACAACCTGAAAATTTTCCTGCGAGTCTTTTTTTATAAATAACACCTTTCTTATAAAGCAATCAAATTAATTAATGAGATTACTGGAATTATGACCTAATTAATCTTATCATCTAATTTAGTTAAAATAGAATATGATTGGCTGTAATGATTTATTGAAAATAAATGACATTGTGTGTAATACAGGGTGTGCCAGGTAATTGAGAACAAATTATTTCAGTCATGTAATATTTTATGTTTTCAAATTAATTAATTATAAAGGCAATGTTAATTGATTAGTATATGAAATTTTTGATTCACTTGTTTCTTTTTGCTTTTTTTGTCATTGGCATGTTTGCTTCAATATGAATATCATTTCTTACATATCTTTCACAAACACAGAGAGATAGAGAGAAGGAGAATGAGTGATTTTGCAATAAAAAAACAATCAAACTTTATCTATTGGTGGGAGACGAATTAGCTTGACACATAGTTATTACCAAAATTTTGATCTAAAATTTTTATTGAAAAATGCTCAGTGTGTGTGATAAGTATTTACTACAAAATTTAATGACGACAGAGAAACATATTATACTGGAAAATAAATGAATGTAAAAGATAAATTGGTGTAAAATAAAAGATAAAAAAATAAGCAATATATGAATTCCCCCAAATGTAACTGTATCTACTTGCGCCCCTAAAGGGAAAATTGTCAACATGAATGTATAGTATATAAAGTAGAGGTAGCATTAAACCTAACAATAGTCATAATAATAAAAAGTTTATGTTGGTTCAACCCAGGGACCATTTAAAAAAATGATATTATAACCATAAAAGTAGTTTCACACATGAGACATATAGACATAGAACTAGTTTATCCAATCATGTGTGGAAAATTAAAAAAGGTGTTGACCCCATACTAAAATGGGAGATAATAAAAAAATGCCACAAATATAAGACAGGTGATAGGTATTGCCTCCTATGCATGGAAGAAAAATTAGCCATAACCACTTATAATAACCCCAACATGTTACTTAATCAGAGATTAAAATTTTCAATGGATGGACACACAAAAAAGCCTGGTTCCTTAAATAAAAGGTTAGTAGTTGGTTTGTTTTTTGGGTTTTTTTCACTTCAAGTGGCCGTTTTTCAATAAAATAGATTTTGTTTTCCTTGTCTTGTTCAAGTTTTATGCTAATTTTATTATTTTACTGTAGTTGTTTTTACCAATAAAATTTCACTTATACCTAACCTTTTTAGGCAGTAGTACCCTGAAGATCCGTTAGGTGAAACCATGGTAGGTAGGTTCTGGCTCACTAGGTTTTTTTAGATTTTGCTCTACTTAGTGTATTGAGCACTTTTATGTTTTTAATATATAAAAGTGAACATAGAAGTCAACACTTAGAGGCGACAGTCTGTTTCATGCTAGATGCAATCGTCAGGCCTTGTGTTCACTTTTATATTTACACACGCTCTATCTCTGATATTGAGCACTTTATCCCATAAATATAGAACACCTTCATGATTTTAATATATATATATATATATATATATATATATATATATATATATATGTGTGGGTGTGTGGAAAAAATAATATATAAATTTTTATATACCAGAACAATTTTAGGAAAATCAATGATGAAGTAGAACAAATCTTTCAAGTCTTTCTTCATTTATGAAGTTCTAAAGGAGGATTCAGGATTTCCTAATATAAATATATATAAAAATATATATGAAAGAGTGCAGAAAATTTTTGCAATATGACCAAGATTCCTGATTTGGGAAATTAGGTGCATTGAGAAATTTACAGCATATGTTTATACATGCATACATATATATCTATATAGAGAGATGTAAAATGCATGTATCAGTTATAATTATGCCCTTACAGGAACCACTTAAGTTATTAAAATGCTGAAATTTTTATTTTTAAATTAAAAATATTTCTTTTTTCAGATGTGTCTGGGCATGCTTAACTAATTTCATTCAGTTTCATTATGCTTTTGTTTTGAATGAAATACGCTACACACTGAAACACATCTGGGAAAAAAATTTAGAATTTAAAAATTAAAAATTTCAGTATTCCAACATTTTCAGTATTTCCTGATGGTATTTATAACCAACACTTTTTTTCTATCTTCCTCTCCTACACATATGAAATTCTATCAACAGAAACAGTATTTTAGTCCAATGAAATCCTTCTTGAGGACAAAATGCATTATACAGAATTTTTTCCACTTGTTATTCGTTTGCCAAACAGTGTTTTGATATATAGAAATTTATATTTATAAGATGATGACATGAAATAAAAAAGCAAAAACTATGCTGTTTCATCAAACATCTGTTGCTTTCTGTGTTTTCAGGTCAGAATGAAAAACACAATTTTGTTAAAGAAAATTCTTTTGGGTTCTCTGAGGACAAGAAAGGCCATAAATTAAATTACCGTATCAGATCTGATGACCAGCCGAGAAAATGGCTAGAAAGTATTAAGGTTGTTGGTGTCTGTTGGATTTGAAATCAGTATTGAAACCGGAAAGGGTTTTTATTTATTTATTTATTTATTCATTTATTTATTTATTTTTTTGTATGGCTTTTGCTAATTTGTGGGATTTGCTGTTTATCCCTGGTAATATGGGGCATATTGGGGTACCTGGTTTGTTAGTTTTTGTTTTATAGATTTATATTATAGCAGTTAAATGTGTTTATATATATATATATATATATATATATATATATATAATTATTTATTTTAAAATATGATTCCAACACGCTACATAAGAGGTCTCATGTTTCAAAACAAGAGCTGAAAACTTCAATATAATTATTTGAATTAAATTGAATTAAAGTAAGCTCTGTTCCATCTTCAAGCGAAATTTTTTTTGGAATAACTTATTTCTGAAATTTATGTGTTTTAATAGCATATTCATTATTGAAATCAAAATTTCCATGGTAACAGCCAGGGTGATTGTTTAAATAGGGAGAGGTGTTGCGTGTTAATAATTTGTATCAGTATAGAGTTACATTCATAGATGTCAAGTCAGGGTAAAGGGGGGGTGTCTAAATTTAAAATGGAAGATGTTTCCGCCTAGTCTGGTTTACATGTCTATGGAGATTTATTTATTTTTTCATTTTATTTCTTTATGAAAGGGTTTTGTGTATTTAAATAAAACTGGTGTAACATTTGTTTTTTGATGACTTCATAAAGGGTTATCTTTTTTGTAGGGTATTTAAACTATTTATTAGGGCTATGGATTATAAAAATTATTTTATTATATGTTTGTTTTTAAGCTAATTATTCAATGCAAAAAATTGATGATGTCGGCAAAAAACCGTTAACTCATGTCTATTTTTATTATTTAGAAACTTAATAATGTGCAGTTTCTCATGGAGGCACAAAGGGCATGGGTCATCCCAAGTTTTACAAGTTCTAGTCCTGTTTATAATTTTCCATTTTACTTTAGGTGTCCTATATATATATATATATATATATATATGTGCAAATATGTAGAAAAATAGGAAAAACATGTTAGGTAAATAATCCACAGTTCTTTAGTATTTTTGTTTTTATTTTTAAAAAACAGTGCTCCATGCAGAAGTAGAATGATGGCATTCATATACGCACATCGTCTGGTCAGTCATAGTGACAGATAGCTGTTGGCACCATCATGTCGTTAAGTGTCTAAAGAATTTTATTTATTTTTGTTTTTTTTCTAAAGAGCTGTTTCGTATATAAACGTGTCACACTGAACTACAATTTGTTTTTTGATGACTTCATAAAGGGTTTTTCTATCTTATGATTGGGTTAAGCTTTTAAACCTTTTATTAGACTATAGAATTTAATAATAATTAGCATAAAAAAAATTAATTTCATAGTCTTATAAAAGGTTTAAAAAGCTTAACCCAATCATCATTCTCTTTGAAATGGACACCCCAGCCCTGCCTCAACTTGACCTCTGTCCAAAGGTGACTGATATGTGGATACAAAATGATCGCTCCAGCCATTTCCATAGTAATTAATTTTACAAATGAACATGCTTATAAAGATGTGTAAAGTTCAAGATTGGTTATTCCTAAATTTTCACTTGAGGATGAAACAGGGCCTGATACTTTAATTCAATTTAATTTTAATAATTATATTGAGGTTTTTGGCTCTTGTTTTTGAAACATTAGAACACTTATGTAGCGAAGGAATCATATTTTTTTAAAAATAATTATAATATATATATATATTTATATATATATATATATATATATATATATATATATATATATATATATATATATACATACACATACACACAAACACACATACACTCACACACATTCTTTATAAGTAATGTCTCCAATTTATATCCATAGAAACTACAATAGATAGAATGCATACAATACAGCTACTATTTTCTATTCATTTTCAAAGTAATAGAACATAGCTTGTCATATATCTCATTACCTGATGAAATATATTACACACTGCCAATGTTGACACTCAATGTTTGGGATATGCAAATGTTCAGCAAGTGTTGATTAATTTCAATGGGTACAAATTTTGAAATTCAACAAAACTGAATTTTGTTATATACTTTCATGTTAAACACTATTTAACCTGTTTGCTGTCAGTACTCATAGGAAAGTTCAACCTGAACTACCATGAAAACAACAATGACATAATTTTTTAAGCTAACATAATAAATTAAAAGACATTACTTGCATTTCTTCATAAATACAAAATACATTGAGCCCTACTCACAAGTGGATGTAAGAGTTAAGAGTAAAAACACTGGATTTTATTTTTGAGTATTAATGTTCTATCTCTTGATTTTGAGCACTTTAATTACAAAAACTGTTTGCCTTAAAAGCATTATTTTCCAGAAATAGTTATGTTTTGTCTTGTGAAACACAATCTTTGTTATTTCTGATCTTTAGCCAGCAGAGCAGACCAGTTCCACACAAGATACAGGAACTTTTTTCTACTGCCATTCAGCCACAGTGGCTGCTGACAGGAAGACATTGAGACTAAAGATCTTCAAGCAACTTCTCCATCTGAAACAAATTTTTGAGCAGGTGGAGCCATGGAATAGATAGATAGATAGATAGATAGATAGATAGATAGATAGATAGATAGATAGATAGATAGATAGATAGATATGAACAAGCTGAGATAGGTAGGCTGATATAAAAAGATTGAGATAGATAGTTATGTAAAAATTAGATAAATAGATAATTTTGGAAAGTTTAGATAGATAAATTAATAGGTAGTTAGTGAGATGGACATATATATAAATAGAATTATTGATTTTGCTATATAAAAACCAACTATAACTTTACTATGGAATAACAATACAGTCTGCTAATCCTGGGGTAAGCTTTCTTTACCTCTGCTTTATTTATTCTTCATGAAGACATTCAGATTTTCTATTATGCTGACAACAGAATAAACAATGAAAAAAGTTAAAATTACACAAGCATTAAAATAGAGACAGAGTACTCTTGAATGTTTTTCTTTACTAGCCAGACAAATGAGGCGCTGTACAAGAATAAACTGACTCTGAAACTGTACCAGCAGATTAAGATTTTGTATCATGTGCACATGATTGGTGGGGAAGGGAGAGGCCCTCTCTTATATTAATTACATTGAGCAAAAAAAAGAAAGAAACTTTTGTTTGATATCAAGTAAATGTTGCTGTACAAGACTAAATTGAGTATGCTGATTTAGAATTTGTACTGAGAATTGTTCTAGAACCTCAGGATTTGAAGATATTTTGTGCACACAGTTGGTGTGTGTTGGTACACATGAGTTTGATTTGGAAAGCAGAGGTAGACATGTTCAGTTTGCATGAGACACTAGTTTGATTTGCATGTGGGCCAAAAAGGTGGATATAGGTTTGGTGTTAAAAAGGTATACACTGGTTTGGTTTACATGACAGTCAAAAAGTATTGACATATTTGGTTTGCATAAGAGTCAAAGTTGAATGTTTTGAGAGTTTTGTATGAATAGAGACAGACAACATGACAGAGAGTGGTAAGAAAGATAGTGAGATGAAATAGAAAAAACAGAGTGATAGAGTGAGTTGAGAGATAGAGAGTTAAAGTGGGGAGAAAAAATCACTTCTGAGACAGACTTAGAATGTGATATATATATATATATATATATATATATATATATAGGTGAGTGGTAGACGGTAAGTAAGAAAGAGACACAGAAAGAGAGTGACAGAGAGAGTGAGAGAAGCATAGGGGGAGAGTGAAATAAGAGAGTAAAATAAAAATAAAAAATACGATGGTACAGAAAGAAACTGAAAGAAAGAGTGAGGTGTAAAACAAAAAGTGAGATGAGGGAGAAGGAGGTACAGAGAGAGAGGTAGACAGATTGAGAGAAAGAAACAGACAGAAATAGTGAGACAAGATAGCTAAACAGAAAAAAAAAATAACAAAAAGAGACTGTAAGATTAAAAAGAAAGAGGAAGAGAGAAACAGAAAAAGAGACAGGGACTGAGAGTGAGATGATAGAGAAAAAAGTAATGGAAACAGTGTAGTAAGAGAGACTGTGAGTTTAGATTGAAAGAGATAGAAAATGAGGTAAGATATAGTGAGATGAGGGAGCATGAGGCACAGAAAGATAGAGACAGTCTGTGAAAGAGAGAGAGAGAGAGAGTGAGAGAGAGAGAGACAGTCAGAGAGAGAGAGAGAGCAAAAAGAAAAAAGAAACAGAAGAGAGAAAGAGAAAGAGAGTGTGTAGGGAAACAGAAAGGGATGAGGGAGAAAACAGCATAGAAAGGAAGAGACAGACTGAGACAGAAAGAGAAAAACAGAGACAAAAAGTGAGATGAGAGAGTGAAAAAGAAATTGAGACAGAGAAAGACTGTATGAGAAATAGTAAGACAGAGAGAAAAGTATAATGAAATGTTGATGAGTATTTACAAAACCTGTTATATTTTTGTTCTTGTCATTTCTTTATATCAATTATTTCATAATCTTCATTTTCTACTTTTTTCCTCTTACATTCATATCTCATACCTTATTCAGTAATACTCTACAACAAGGGATGCTTGTGTCTTGTAGTGAGGTAAACTATGATTAAAAGAAAATTTCAATTTCCATTATCCTCATCTTTGTTGTTTGTAACACAAAGTTTTGGCTCATGTATTCTTCAGCCTTCTTTCACTGTCTGAATTTCTGACATGAATTTTTTTATGCTGTTTTTTCAGATTTATTTATTTCATTTTTACTATATCTATAAAAACAAATACAACATGGAATTTAGCAACTGAAATGTAATTAAAAAATTCCATGAGGTTAAGTAAATATCAAAAACTGTCAGATTTCCAATTTGTTTCTTATGTATAAAATTACTGTAGTACAGAGGTGCAAATTTTTTGTTAATCCAAGTCAATGACCGAAAGGAAATAATATAAAATCAAGTTTTGTGAAGACTATTGTGTCTCTTTTGATTTGATTATATTAAGGCTGCTTTATGAAGAGGGATATTTTGATGGAAACTTACCAATCTTTCCTGTTGTTATTGGGTCTGAGGACACCAGACTTTCTTGTTCATTAATAACAATTCCATTCACCCTGCGGATAAGGCAGCAAACAGGGTGAGGTTCTATGATTTTGTTGACAGAACTGGAGTTAGAATGTTTTTCCCATTTATACCATTCACTCGTTTATTCTAACAGAAGTGATCTATTCACAAACTGCCAAAAACCTCTGGAAACAAGTTTAGATAATTACAGTGACATGGGGAAGGATAGATTGCTGTGTGTATACAGCTTGTCTTCAGGGGAAAAAATAATGAAAAAGGTGGTAATATCAGTGATGAATGAATTCTGACAATTAAATCAATAGGAATATTTTCTTGTTTATAATTATTATGCACTAAAAAGAGTCATGAAATTATAATGTGATTATATATATATATATATATATATATATATATATATGTGTGTGTGTGTGTATATATATATATATTACTTCAGATGTTATTATAGTGGATACTTGTATTTGAAATAGACATCTCATTTTTATTTTTATACAGTGTGTATTAAATCTATCAGTCTATGCATTTATAGTTGAGAAATATTAATAAAGAAAATGTGGTGACCAAGTAGTAAAGCATGTCCGATCAAACAGTAGTTTCTTCTACAAAGTGGGATGCAGGTTCAATCCCTGCCAGAGAGCACAGATTTCAAACGAAATATAAACTGGTAAAGGAAAACAAGAAAAAAAAGGACTAACCATTAAATGCAATATGCCAGAGTGCATGATTGTTAGCAAACATGACACCTCAAGTTTTGCATTACATATTGGATACATCAAAAAAAAAAAAAAAGAAGCTGATGGAAAGTGTGACAGAGATCAAAAGATGTATAGGAATAGTAGAAGATAACTATATATGGATGTTATGAACTGCAAGAAAACTGATGCTAACAATAAAAAAAAAGTGAAATGTCTGGAATACATAATGAGGAAAGAAGTCTTGGAGAATTTAACACTCATAGGTCATACTGAAAGCAAGAGAAGCAGGGAAATGGCAAACAATCTACTTAATGAATTTGAGCAAATGAATAGCAGAACACGGACAAATAGGGGCAATGAAAATGTAAGAATTACATAAAGCAACAAAAGACAAGAAGCTGAGAAGAGCAATGATCTGCAAATAATCCATAATGATTACTGGCAACAGTTTAACGAATATACAAAAATAGAAAGATAAGTAAAAGTTGTATTTTCTGACAGGATTTATTTTTTCTTACAAAAAAATCACCTATCCTCAATTTGGTTTGACAGAGTCCAGAATTATTTTATATATGGAGAATTTAATCTTGTATTTTTATCAGACATTACTAACAAAACATTACTCTGGGATAATGAAGTGAAATCCCAAAGAGAGTACTTTGAAGTGGACTAAGGTACTATTATCCTAGGTAAGCTATCTTTTCATTAATATTAAATGGCTGCATCATTTCTGGGCATACCTAAATTATTAAAATGTAAAAAATTTAGCTTAGTTCAACTCAATTCTGCTCACTGTGAAAGAAGGAGGGTGGTAAGATTGTGTCACATAAATATTCCAAATAAAAATGTCTATTGCACAGTAAAATCTCCCACTGAAATCTTATTTTTACTCAGACTCAAATGTTGACTTCTGACACTGGTACAAAATTTGTAACTATTTTTGCCACAAGGTAATAAATGTCTAACAAGTTAGTTTGAATATTTTGCTAGAGGAGGAGCTGGAAATCTTTTGCCCTTTTGTGAACATAAAGAAAGAATATTTATTTGATAAGAATTTCTCATTGAAAACACATGGGAAACTTGTTTCTAGCAATTTACAAATACAATTATTTTATGACAGCAAACACACAGGAAAAAATGGCATCTTGAATTTCAAAATAGCTCACTAAGTGGACCAATGAAATTTCTGACTTAAAAACTTTCAACATCAATAGAATAGTTTTAGTTATTTTGTAAACTTTAAAAATGTGCACAAGTAAATAAGGTGAAAGCAAAGTTTGCTAATGAATAACTTATTGAATTATAATTTCATTTTTATAATAGACTCATGTGTAATTTACCATTTCTATTTTAATCTACCTATCTATTTCAATCTGTCCAAATCTATCTGTTGAATTTGGCTGGTTCATATCTATCTATCTATCTATCTATCTATCTATCTATCTATCTATCTATCTATCTATCTGTGCTTGAGGGATGCATTCAAGCATGAAACAGAAAACAATGCTTGATGTAATACAACAGAGCTATTAATTATATGTTATACATATCCCTCACTGCTAGCATGACTCAGAGTTTCATGCACAATGCAATCTTCAGGTGATGAGTATATACTCTGCACCTGAAGATTGTGTTGTGCATGAACCATCAATTATTGATCTAAATTTACAAAATTAAGTAAAAACATCATTGACACTCTAAAAAAAATCTGTCACCAAACTCATAACATCCAACAATACCAATGTACAATCTGTAAAAATCAATAAAATTAGTGGAGATTACCAACCAGAATACCAATGCGGTAATGTCAAAATACACAAACCTGGATACCCATTACAACTTCAGAGATACCAACACCCATATACCAATTGTCAAAATTTCTTAATAATATTATTAACCTATATCTACCTACCAATTATAGCATTCAAATCAATCCAAGAATTTCTCCAAATCCTTCAAACTACAAAAACAAACCAAGGCATACTAGTGTCACTTGATGTCAAAAATTTATTTATAAATGTCCCTGTTAATGAAACCATAGATATACTCCTTAACTCTGTATATAGCGATAATTCAATTCTACCTCCATCCGTCAAACTCAATATTCTCAAAAAATTATTACATGCATGCACTACTATGCCATAATAGCAAAATTTATATGGGATATCTCCTTGGTCCATGCTTTTCTAACTATTACATGTCCCACAGGATTTTATAAAGGTTACTAAACCGAAAATATACGTCCAATATGTAGATGATATTTTTATTTTAGCTGAGAACAAAAATAAAATCAATAATCACAAAACTACATTTGAAAAAATTCCAACTTCAACTTTACTTATGAACTTAAGCAACAAAATAAACTCCCAATCTTGGATGTTCATGTAGAGCCTAGTCATAATACATTCACTAATTCGTTATATTAAAAACCCACATGTAAAAACTCTTGCCATCTTAATTTTACTAGTTAATGATCTCTCAGATATAAAATAGGTGTTATTAAAAATTTCCTTATGCAAAAGCATGTGAATTCACCTCTCATCTACTCTTCTTTAAAGAACTCAATGACATGAAACATATGCTTGTTAATAACGGTTTTCCAAACCATCTTATAGATTACTATATTAAACTTTTTCTTTCTAAAATAACCAATAGCAACATAAAACACTCAGAAAAAATCAACAACATTAACAAAAATTAACTGGATAGTAGTTATAAGCAAGACAAATTAGAAACATCATAAAGAAATACACAACTCCATTTGACAAAAACAAGAAAATTAAATTATTTATTAAAAAAAACCACATCATCAAAAAAATAAATTTTTCCATTAACCAAATCCCCACTCAAATCATATATTTCCATACTCGTTTCTCTAGCCAAACTAAGCAACATGCCTCTCTCTATTGGATCTATTTTTACCTCCTCTCCCTGCTTTTGTCAAGCTTTGCAATACTACCCTCTTGGTAACTCGAACCACTCTGTGGTAGCTATTGATATCACCTTCCAAGCATCCATTAAACAGGAACCTCCTATCCATAAGACCTCTTTCCATTACCAGCATGCTGATTGGGACTATTTTTTCTTTGTGATGGCCCTTGGACTGACGTCTTCAACTTCTCAATTGGAAATTGCACTACTGAGGTTTCTTCTTGCCAGTATGGATGCTTTCATCACTTCTCCATAGTTCACACCAGCAAGGCTGCCTCTCTGTGCCTTTTTTATAAATACTTTCATGGTAATTGTTTGGATGATCTCTTTGCTATGGTACGAAGACTATATGAATTTAAGCGCAATACTAGACTGTCAACGATGTCAATGGGTGTTCAGCTTATCTTTTCAATTAGAATTGAGGTAGTTGAGCAGGAAACATTCTCTGTGACTTTTGAAAATCAAACTGATCACCCAAGAGAGGCCAGAAGACAAGATCTAGGCATTGTGTACAAAGACAAAAATATCTTTTAAAGCATATTCCTAAACTGTAGATTGAAGCTAGAGAAATATCTTGATACTGCTAAAAAAGTAAAAAAAAAAAGATCAAATATGAATGTGACAGTGCTGCTCATCATTCATGGCAAGACTTGGAACAGATCCAGAAATATTAGAAATGTAAGAAGAATTGGAAATCTAACAAAGCATAAAACTCTGCACATGACACCATGCTGCTAAAATCAGCAAGAATAGTGAAGCAAGTGATGGAGTATTGTAATGTTTGCTGTCTCTTGATTCAAATGGGAAATGATATGAAAATTCACAAACTATACAAATATTAATGCTAATAATAATCATTCTTGTAGATTACATCAAGTTGTCTTGAATAAGAATGAAACGAAGAATTGAAAGAAATTGAAAAGCTGGAAAAATAAATTGTAGAATAGGAATGTGTTGGTTGTGTCCATAATTACTGGAGCACTTGGAATGAGCTGGAAGATTCATGTAAGTAGACTGAAAGTATGATAAACTAAAAGAATTTGAAAAATAAAAGGAGAAAACCCAAGATTTAAGGCTTGCTATCACATGATCCTCAACAAGAACCACCAGAATCAATTAATATCTCTCTCCGTCTGTCTGTCTATCTCTCTCTGTTTTCACATACACACACACACGCACACACACACACGTGTGCACATGCACACACTCATAAATATATATGAATTGGGATCAGATACTGATCAAATATGGAACATAAAGTGATAGAATAAGATAAAGAACAAATAGGAAATGTTTATAAATCTAACATGTTTCACTTTTATTAAAGCTTCATCAGAGAATGATATATGGAAAAAATTTTTCTGGTATTTTCATTTTTGTGTTGTTTGATTTCCATTGGTTAAGCAGACTTCATGTGCATTTGACTTCTCAAGCTGTATTCACATATATAATTTATGTATGTAAGTGTATCATAATTCCAGTTTGTCTATGCATGATTTGGTTGATAACATACATATTTAAGTATGTGTGTGTGTCTAATAGGCATTATTTTTGTTTGGAGGTTGTCTGCATGTTGATTTAGGGACGTTTTTATGTCAACACCAATTGTGGTAGTGGTAGTTAAACATACGTTAGATTCTTTAAGAATGAATTTAATATAGATTGGTGATGTAATATAGCGTTTTGACATGTGTCTATAGTTCATAAAATATTTATCAGGATTCCCTCAAAGTATTTTCGACACAAAGAATTATGTTCTTTTTTAATTAAGATAGCAATTTTAAAATCAAAGCTATGACCAGATTTGTCCATGTGTATTATGAGTGAGTTTAAATGGTTGACCTAATGTAGGCCTCGTTTGTGTTCATAGATTTTGGATTTCAAGATGTCTTGCCAATATATGTTTATCTGATAAATCCCGGCATCTGAAGTCATGTTGAATTTATTTTTCTTCCTCATTATATAGCAGTCTCAGAGGTGGTGGTAAAGAGCATAGTATTTAATTTATTATCAAATTTTGTAGATAGAGTGTTAGAAGTTAGGTTTATGAATTTTGTATTTTTGATGTTAGAGTGTTGTCATCAGTGTCTAAAGTTTTGAATTTGTAGACATTGTACGCCTTTTTCTAGCCTTAAACGATGAAATGATGGCGGTTATGAAGATGTGTAAATGTTTTTTTCAATGTATTTCTCTTCTTCAACTAGGTATTCTGGGCTACATATTCTGATGTAGAATTCTATGACTAGACATGATTTTATTTTTTGACTGTGGTGGGAATCATCTAATTAATTTCTAACATTTAATAATCTAATAAATTTCTTTCTATTTTACATTCTTTATAGTAATAATATCAGAACACTAAAAGTGCTGCATCAGAAAAACACTTGGCATTTGATCCCAGTTAGAACCAGCAGATATTGTTTGTTTAAAAATTTATTTAACAATAAAAAATATGAAGAAAAATTCTAGAAAATAGAAAAGACTTGTTGTCTCTTGATAATCAGTGAAAGTTTAGGATAGCTTAAAGAGTTAAAAAAAAGAATAAATTAGCTAAGAATATCCAGATAACAGGTTGACTAAAACCAGCCGAGTAAGCTAGTGTATTGAAGAGACTTGCTGTCACTTGATTTATACTGGTATGAGATTATATATGACAAAATAACAGGTGTACTTACGTAAGCAAGTTTTGCCATCTTTACTCATGGCTAAGCCTCCAAATGTAGGACAGGCACATTGGTACTTGAGCCCTTGAAGGGGCATACACAGATGCGAGCAACCAGCCTTATCTTTTTTGCCACAGGGGTGAAGAAAAACTAGAAAATAAAATTAGAATTTGCTTTTTATGTTAATGTCATGATAAAAGTACAAACACAAACATACAAACACACACACAAAAGAAAAAAGAAACATTAACATTTCCACTTCAGAATAATTATGACAACAAATTAATAACAGGTTTCTTTTGATTTCAATGTACAATTTGTCATAATAAAAAGAAAAAAAATATATGGCTTCTCTCATTTTTGTTTTATAGCATCAAGAAATAAAAAAAGAAATAGTGATGCCTACAAGATTTTTATTTCTATATTTTTGATTATCAAAGAAATAAGCCACTTTGGTAGGAGAGTATTTCATGAAGGAGAACCTTTCATGAGAAGACTTCAATTCAAATTTTGACAGCATCTAATAAGAGCTTAGGATAGGTTGGGTCCAAGATTGTTGGAATGATGATCTTTAAGGCTTATATTTCAGTTTTTGATATGAAGTAGAGAAGACTTGTAAGCTTAAAAGAACTATTTTTACATTTTAATGTCATTGGCTGGATTCAGCTCTCAGTGTAGCAAATCTGTCTTTTTGATTTGAATGCGGAATGGTTTGTTAAGTGGTCAGAATAACTTGAGAAATGGTGAATTTGAAAAGGATCAATTATGCTACAGACAGTGACAAACAGCTGTTGCATTGTTTAAAAAGGCATAACCAACTTTTTTTTTTAGTTTATTAAGATTTGGTAATATATAATATGCAGAACATTTGAATTGAAACATGAGTAATAGTTTTGGATAAATACTGTATGATCCAAAGTAGATGTAAGGAGAAGGGTGTGGTCCATTATTAATTTATATACACTAAAGTGTATCCATCATTTAATTTTTTTTCTTCTTTTGATGAGGATAAAAACAGGCAGTATAATTTCTTGTGTGGGGAAGCATTTGATAAATATTCCTTGTAATATAAAGAAAAATAATGTTAAGATATGAAGTCCACCCAGAAATTTAACTGATCATTTGATTGTTGAAGGAATTATCATTTTCCCTCCTTGCTGCAGTTTTGGGGATTCTAGAGTAAAACTATGCAATATGGTTTCACAGCAGTGTTCCCATGATGCACCACTTTGATTCAATATTTCTAGAAACCATGTGACCATGTTTTAAACGGAGCGCTGGTCTTATAAAACTTTCAGTTATCTGTTTGGATAAGTCTTGTTCTTATGTACATCGTCTTTGTCATGTTGTATTGATAATGTTATAATTTATGAATATGTCCTGAAGATGGTTTAATAGACCGAAATATCCGATGTTGACATATTAACATTAAAACAGCATAATTGTATATAAGGATTTTTTTGTTTGTTTTTTCCGTATATATTTTTCTTCATATATATATATATATATATATATATATATATATATATATATATATATATAATGTTCAGATGAGCTACATTCCTTAGTTCCTCTAACTCTTACTCTCCCAGCTAAGAACCTCTATGCCACATACATTGAGATGAACCACCCTCACTCCCCTTATATTCCTTTAGTAAGGAGTAACTTCCACTCAGATAGCTTCTTCCCAAGAATTGTTGCTTTATGGAATAGAAAAGAATGCCCACAGGATACTTCCTGATCTCTCTATGGTCTATGGTTAACTGTTAACTTTGCTACATATCTGCATAAACTGTGACCCTTACTCTTTGCTCTCATGCAGCATCTACCATCAGTAACCATCTACCTTCTGTGACCACTGGGTTTTGTATAGGTTGAACATTAGTAATATATATATATAATATAAGTATATATGTAGTTATCTATGTTTTAAAGATTTTTGATTTCCTTGTATAAACTAGTTGTAGAGCAGACATTAAAATATAAACATGGCTAAACGTAAAGCAAACATGAAAAATATAAGTATAGATCCCAATCAAAACAGATAACTTGCATTATACATACATGTAAATGTCACTTTTTTGTTTGCTTTTTTGGGGAAAAAGTTAAACAGACATCATGCAACACAAAGGAAACACACATATATACACACTTATATATATATTTTTTTTTTTGTGTGTTAGAATTTATTTTTTCATTTTCTTTATTTCTTTTTTTTTTTGAGAAAATGTTCAGGACAAATGACAAAAATAAACTCTAAGAAGGAAGTAAGTTAAATCTTTATTGTAATAGAAACATGTCTGTGTGCTTATCCATTGCATGTTTGTGCACTATGAGGGAGATGATCTGTAGTTATAGCCAGTCTATGTATCTTGGAAGTTTTTAAAGAACATCAACTTTGAAGGATTTTTATACATTTGGCCTTTCATCTTAGTTTATATTACAGGTCTTCAACTTGTATCATGTCAGATGACATTAAACGTGTCATGTGATCTTCGATCATTCTTTGGCTTCCTTGTTTTTTCTTTTTTTTTTTTATTTGCTATTTTTGATTCTACTTTCTTCTTATTTGAAAAAAATCTTTTCTTTCTAGACTTCCAGATATTTTTTTATTTTTATTTTTCATCCTAATTTCCTTTCCTTTCCTTTTTTTAACTTTTTATGTTTCTTTCTTTTTGCCTATTTCTTTTTCTTTTCATATTTTGTGCATTCATTCTTTCATTTTAACTCTCATTCTTTCATTTTCTTTCTTTTTTCTTATTTTCTTTTCTAAATTCATATTTTTCTTTTATTCTACCTGAAATTTTTCTTTCCTTCATTGTTTCTTTCTTTTGTTTTCTCTTTCTTTTCAATATATAATTTCTATTCAAAGAGAAATATACATTCATTACTCACATATATATATGTATACAATTAACAGTATTTTAATGCATATATTATATTTCTAGCGATGGATGTCGCCAATAATCGCATTAATACTTCTGATTGATTCTATGTGTGATTATTTCTTTGTATGTAAATTATATGCTGCCTAATGTTTTATGTTTATAAAAAACTATCGATCCGCAGTCCATAAAAATTCCTATAAAAAAAACTACTAAGACATTACACTATATTATTGAACTATATACTTAGTTCATGACATAAAAACTGAATACACTTGTAAAATAGAATATGTGGATTTAACACATCACAAGAAATATTTAAATAATATTCTCACTTAAAAAATTTTTGAAAAACTTAGCGTTGCGTCTTTGCACGTTTCGAGATCTTACACAACCGTCTATAATAGCAGATATTCAAAAAACATCTTTCGGTCGACATACAAGTATTTCGTCTTCAAGTTTTTGATTTTATAAGGAAAAAAACACATGCTTGATGATGAATAGAGGACTATTTGTAAGTACTAGCATTTTAACATCAAATAAACTGAAAACTACAGACATCAAGTTTATTGACGAGGATCACTTCGCACTATGGATTAACAGTATTTTAATGCATATATTATGTTTCTAGCAATGGATGTTGCCAATAATCGCATTAATACTTCTGATTGATTCTATGTGTGATTATTTTTTTTATATATATATATATATATATATATATATATATATATATGTATTATGTATAATTATACATTTTACCAGTTTGTGACTGGAAGGGATAATTCTAAGGAGATAATTCTGATAATCCAGATAGAACACAATGTAGACTACAGAGCATTATAATGATAATAAAATGGAGACTTTAATTATCCATTTCATTAATAATTTTTATTTTGTGATCACCAAGATGTTCAGCTCATCAGAACGAAACATTCTCCGCAAGTAGAGAAAGTACACTGGATGGACACTTAAGACTGGTGGTGGGGAGAGAAGGTGAGAGAAAGGGGTTGGGTAAAGATAGGGTTGAAAGATTAGTGGTTGGTAGTAGTTGGTTTCCTCAATGAAGAATTTACTCTATATTTTTTACATTTTAATATTGGGTTGTATGTTACTTTGGCTGATACCGTCTAGTGTTTTTATGCAGGATAATCAGATCAATTCAAATTAATTTAATTAAAGAGATCTCAATCTAAATAAAATCCAGTATTAATATAGTAATACTTAAGCATTTGTTTTTAGGCCGAAGTCTGATAGTCAGTGGAAACATTGAGTTGATGGGGAACACAAGAGGAAGATATAGGAATGGAAAGCTTGAGGTAGAAGAGAAGTGAGAAGGAAAAGGCGGGGTAGTGATAGCTTTAGCAGCCTGATCTGTCTAGATATTTCTTAATTTTTGGAACTATGTAAATGGGTTAATACAGTGGGTTGATTGTTATGAAGTGGTCCCTAGTACTAATAATAATTAGAAATCACAATAATATTGTCAGGCACAATAGATGGATAAAGCAAATAACTTTAGAGAATTAAGAGGTGAATAGATATTCAAAAACAATTACCAAACTTAAGGAAAAAGCTATGGATTATGGAAATGACATATGTTAGTTTGGAAATATGGGTAAGGTGTACACCGGCAATATAGTCTTAGGTATCACCATGTGTGTAGAAGTTTGCAAAAAGTAACCAGGTCATGTAATATTTACTATGACGTACAAACACGTGTACATGTGTGTACGTCATAGTGCATATATACATGCACATTTCCACACATGAGTGCACTCCTATATGTACCAATGAACCACCACTTCCTGTGTCATCCTCCCAAAATCTATGTGGTAAGCGTTTTAGGGGATTTTAAGTTTGTCTTTATGCATACACTTGAAGATAAGCTTGTTTCGTTGGTTTAATAATTGGTTAGCATTTGTGTACTTGACTATTGCGATTTTTTCCTGTATACACAGATAGCATCTGTCCCAGAAGTTGTTGGGGGTTCTGGACTGATAGATGATTTCCCATTTGATTATTGGGGTGAGGTTATTATCCTTAATTTTCTAATACTGTTTGGATGGTGCAGTTTGGTTTCTCTGGTTAATTTTTGAGAAGGAATGTCGGTGGGTGTATAGCCTTTGTTTCCAATTTCCAGTGGATATTCCTATACATGTCTTTATGTCCTTGGTGTTCTCTTTTGGGAAAATGGTAGCCTGGTATACCACATTTTTCGAATTACAGGTGCCTTCAACTGGGCAACTGGTTCCAGTTTTACAGTTA